AAACTACCATCCAAACCCAATCGAAACAATGAGGTTTTTAGTTGAGGTCGCCGGCGAATTTCAATACTCCGTTTGAGGTCTTGCGTGCGGTCTGAATGTGTTTAAGATTCAAAATTGTAAAACCGTAAAGTTTCAGATTCAACTTTTGAGGTCTAATCCTTATCTTGTTTTGATTAATGATATGGGTTATTTCTTTTTTCTTTTGGTGTTCTTTGGTGTTCATTTATATCTTGAATGAATAAAATTATTGTTAAGCATGCTGCCAAATTTTGAGCTTCCTCTTTGTATATTTATCTTAGTTCATTAGCATGTTCTCTTAAAAAAAGGTTCATCCATGAATGATTTAACGAAATTTGCTAATTGATAAGTGATTTGTGATTGTTCATAAAAAAAAAATCTTATTTAAATGGAAGCTCAGGCAAGGTTATGTCTCTGTTTGGTTATTTAGTCCTTCATGTGTTAATAAATGTGCTTTAGTAGTTCCATCTTTGTTTTAAATTAAGCTATCAATTGTCTAAAGTATAGAGTTAAGTTGTAAACAAGTTTAACTAGAATTATGTCACGGGTGAAGATCCAATTTTTGGGCCTAGACACATGGGTTGCGAGGTTACTATAAGCTAATGAAGAAAGTTATTTTATCTTTGAGGCCAAAACTTGAAATCTGCTAGGCCCATTAATCTCATACAGTGGCCCCCTTTTGTAGTCCTTAAATAATTAATTTAATCTATTTCATACTTTTCTACAATGACATACTCTTATGGCTTTACAAATCTCAAATTAGTTTAAGACAAATAATTCACAAACATCGTAGCTTGCTTTAGGCGTGATTAATAAATTATCGCGACTATGAGTACGATTCCCGTTGCATGGTCACGATACGTAAATTTCAATTCGAGTGTGCGTTTCACGTGACTCGGCGTTTCACGTGACTCGACCAGAAATAAAAATTAACATGTTGTAAATCGCGGGTGCGTTTCACGTGGCACGATTCACAATGTGTACAAAAAACAAACGAGTGCGCGACATCGCGACTTGTTCAAACAAATTTCATAAATACTAAAAGCGGTTAAATATTTAACTAAAAGCGGTTAAAAGTAAAAAATGCACACTAGGTTTCAAATATATATTAAATCAGATAATTAAGCCAATTATTAATAGTTGAGCGACCGTGCTAAAACCACGGAACTCAGGAGTGCCTCGCACATTCTCCCGGGTTAATAGAATTCCTTACCTGGTCTTCTGTGTTCGCGAACCAAAAATAGAGTCAATTTCCTTGATTTGGGATTTTAAAATAAATCGGTGACTTGGGATACCATAAATATTCCAAGTGACGACTTTGAATTAAATAAATAACCTAATTTCGAAAAATATCACTTTAATTGGAAAAACTCCCCCCGTCCCCCGGGAAAAAGGAGGTGTGACAATTACATAGTTAGATTAGATTTTAAATGAATTATCAAAAATAAGAAGTTAAAAATAATAAATATATGCATATACGTAATTTTTTATAAGTATAAATGATATTAGATTTGGTATTTAAGATGCATATTTTTTCTTGAATATACACTGATCAGTAATCATATATTTATAACTAATATTGTAAAACTAATTTATATATATTTTTAAAATTAATAATATTTAGTTTAATTAATTATAAAAACTAAAAACATATGTTTTGTAAGAACATCATGGAATGCATGTTTGATAAATAAATTAATATTTATAAATATAATGTTATAACATTATGCAAATGTTTGACAAAATTAATCTATCAATTCTAACTAAAAAAATGAACAACATGCAATGTGAAATAACAAGCCAATACTACTAAAACAAATAAATTGGAACCATAATATAGCACATTTTCAAAATCCCCCCCTC